CCTTTCCGCCCGTCCCGCGAAAAAACTTTTCCAAACGCACACACGCGCGCGCGCGATACATTTTGACAAATATATAAGTAGCAAATGTCTCTATATATCTTTAATTACGTAATAATATAGTATTGTAGATTAAAATATTTATTCATTTATTTTTTTTCTTTTTATTGTTGCTTGTAAAAGTGTATATAGATGTGTATACGTATAATACCATAAATTTGAATATTCCATATAAAAATGAAACTAAAATTTAGTAGGTACGATGTAGAAGAAAAAGAAAAAAAGGAAAATATAATAATAATAATATTAATAATAATAATAATAATAATAATAATAATAATAATAATAGTTAATAATAAGCGAAAACCCGCGTTAAACGAAAGGAGAGACCTCGGGTTGAATACACATATATGTATGTATATACCTACACAGATATACACGCATATATACTTTACAGTCTTTCTTTTGTATTTATGTGTGTATACGTATGTGTTATATAAGACTAGGTTTAACAAACTTTGGGGAAATTCGTGGAGTATAGGAGGAATTAAAATTAGTAATCGTCAAAAGTATCGCTTCCTTTTTTTTTGTTTGTTTGTTTGTTTGTTGAAGGACTTAGTCGAGAAATGGATATACATATATGTACGGTACGTACCATGTATATAAATATATATATATTTATGTAAATATTGAAATATTTTAAAAATGAATTCGCGACTATAAATATATATATATGTATATACATCATATATTATTTAATCTAAAGGCTGAGTAGTCTTGGGGGACTGACAATTGATTACACGGTCGGATATATGTGTGTGCATTACATATTACCGGTACGTGTAACAATAAATAATACAACATTTACGTTTACAACGCGACCATGCTCCTTGGCATCCATTAGCATATATAAAAAATATATTTGGAATACACGCTTTCTCCATATTGCATTTACGATTTACCATTTCTCTTGTCTTGTACTATCCCTTTTATACAGTGTTCTCCCGTTTTGAAGTATAAGCAACTTGTCGGAACATTTAAAATCCATCCCATTTCACGAATAGTCCCATTTAATAAAAAATACCAATGGAGGTTTCAGGAATATATGGTTTATACACATTGAACACTGGATTTCATTCCTCTTCCATTTGGTTGTCCCTCGTCTGTACGTGTGTATCTTATTATTTGCTTTGTGTTCCTGTTTGAGACATTACGCACAATACCTAATACATATATGTTACTTTAAATTCTATATATATATAGAATATAGAATAATATTTTAAATTCTATATATATATATATATATATACATATCAATAAAATGTTATCTCGTTATTTATATTCTGGTGTACGAGGAGTTCTCCTTAACATATGGCTCGGCGTTCTTTCCCTCTGACCGTGTAACAAATTTAACTGGTACCATTTTTTGAGATCACCTTGTACGCGTCGTCCACAATCTCTCTTCTTCTATGAGAAAGTTTTTGATTTATCTCTCAAGTATAATTAGGAGACGTTTTATACTCGACGATCCTAAAGAAGCTCGTAAACGATTCAGATCTGCGTCGAATCTGTAATCTAGTATTTGATCACCATTTCGAGAGCGAGTGAACTCTTTCAATCAATCCTGTCAACCTACTGTAATTTGAATACAAAGTTCGAGGCCGAACTCGTTTGTACCCTTTCTGACTAGATTGTATGAAGAGCTGCCAAACACAAGACTCCGCAATTATCAAAGAAATCTAGACTACACGGGATTTGGTCATCGATAGAAAACCTCGGAGAAACGTAAATCGAGGGGGTGTCTAAGGGAACTAACCACCGTTACAGGAATTACAGCGAAAACCTTCGGACCCTGGACCATTTACCGGAAAACATCGGGCAACTGCCACTGGCACAATGCGGGCTTGTAGATAATAAATTACAAATTATAAATAACAAATTACTACAACATTGCACGAACGAACGAAACGAACATTACCGAAACCAATTCCCATTCAAGAAACAATTTCACCTGAAGTCTTTGTATATACCCTGTCTATTCGTAAAAAGTTAAAGATGACCATCCGATTCTAACATTTATTGATAACGTGAACCCGTTAGAATAAAATATTGCTATTCATATGTTTCCCTTCGAGTCCTCTTCAATTCCCGACTATAAAGCAAAAGGCATCGACCGTTGGGAACCACATTTGAAATGGAACGCCGAGCCAAACACTAAGTCCAGAGAAACGTCCTACCCAGGCAGATCTTTTGCTTACGTCAATATACAGGATTTACTCCTTAGAAGAACCATTTCTAATTAGCTTCGAGGACGTTCAATTGTCTCTAGTCCCAACAGAATATTACCTTGAACAGGAGAGGAGCCTGTTGGGCTTCC